CACGTGTTGGTGGCCAGAAATAAATGCAGATATTTGTCGTACAGCAAACAGTTGTGAAAAGTTTCATAAGCTGAAAAATCAGTATTCGAAGTGGACTCCACGGCTAGTATCGTCTGAGGCCTGGCAGAGAATTCATGCAGACTATTGTGGTCCGTTTCTTGGCAAATACTATGCGCTTGTAGTTATTGATTCTTTTTCAAAGTGGCCTGAAGTTTTTTCACAACTTCACCAAATTCTGACTTCACATTAAGAAAGGTTTTTAGTCGAGAAGGTGTTCCAATGGTGTTAGTGACTGATAATGACTCTCATTTCGCTGCAGATGCAGTCACTACCTGTTTAAATGGTATAGGGTGAAAACATCTGTTTACTGCTCCCAGACATCCTTGTTCCAATGGTCAGGCGGAAAATTTTGTCAGGACGTTAAAAACTGCTATTGATTCTATTGCCGCCTCAAAATTTAATGATCAGGAGAGGGGAGTAGATACCTTTCTAATGCAATTTAGAAATGCCACACATTCGGTGACGAAAGAGACTCCATCAAAGCTATTAAAAGGAAGGGTTCTTCGGTCGAATATGAGATGTTTGGAGTCTGCAGAAGTTACATATTATCGTGGAAATGATCTTCGACCATCCACGGGGATTGTTCTGAAGAATGTCGGGAAATCTATGGTGCGACTTCTAGATATCAATGACTTAAGTACACAAAATCGACATGTTGATCAAATACAATTCCAGGAACCAGGTGAGTCTGTTCCGATTTCAGTTGTTAATTCTAATACTAATGAGTGCATTCTAGATAATACAGAGTCTTTATCCAATACATTGTCGGACAGACACAGTATGAACTTGAGAAGAAGACGTACAATTGATTACAGACACTTAGACTCTAATTTAAGCTGTGGCGGATGTGGTGTTTGAATGAACTAATGACTCCTTTGTACTTGTTGAATGCCTGATTTCGAATTCTAAATACAGTACATTCGTTCGTGCTTATCCAATAGTTCTTGATCCACTTACGTGATTTCCGGGATTATTAGTTCATACTATAATTCAAATACTTCTAATTATCATATTAAAGCACGAAAGCCAAATTACTATGACCACTGACGAGATTTCCAAGACCGCTATTACAACTCCTTTCTGTCTCTAGGAATTTTCGCGCGTGACTTTCGGCCTAAGAAATGCAGTTCAGACTTCCATGGGTTCATAAATAATGTTTTTTCAGTACTCAAACGATAGCAAGTCCGGACAGAGAATTCAATCTCCAGCATCTTCGAACGTCTACGAAAGCATGGCAATACTGCAAACATTCGGAAATGTCAAATCGGAACTGACTCCCTAGGGTTCCTTGGACACACTACCGATGTTCAAGGTATCCGACATCTAAGAAGCAACGTGGCGGCCATTCTGGATTACCCAGAACCGACCACAACTAAGCATTTACGCACGTTTAACAACCTTGCAAGTGTCTATAGACGGTTCATGCCAAACTGCGCGTCCCTTACAAAACCTTTAACCGACTAACTTCGTAGAAATGCGAAATCAATCAAGTTGGTCGATATCGCGAAAAAGCATTCTCCACAGTTAAGGAACTCATCGCCGAAGCAACATCGCTCGCACACAAGGGCGCCCAAGCACCCATTAGTATCACAGTAGGTGCATCCGACTTGGCAATCAAAGTTTTAAAACAATGGGCTAACCACATTCGGCAACCTTTAGCATTCTTCTCGTGACGATTGCCAGACACTGAATCGAGGTATACCATTTTGGGGGAGGAACTCCTGGCTATGTATTGTTCTGTATGGCATTTTCAGCAGTAATTCACTATTTCCACTGATTATAGACCTACTACCTTCTCTTAGCTCATCTTCAGACAAGTACTCCCCTCGAGAGTATTGACAACCGGACTACATTTTGCAGTTCACTTCAGATATACAATCCATTTCAGGGGAAAACAATGTAGTTGTAGACTCTTTTTCTCGCATAAATTCTCTGAACAGTTTCCAAAGAATTGACTTTCCTAAGCTCGTCCAGCTTCAAAAACAATACAATGACGTTCGGGATTAGCTATCTATGATAACTCTGAAACTACTTGTTAAAAAAATGGGAACAGGTTAGGAAACCTTACTATGTGATATATCTACGCCAGTTCGAATCTGGACCTTTCCATTGCCTGGCTACACTATTTAGAGTCACACGATTCCGAACGACCGCTACCACCCACAAGCAAGCGGGTTGATCGAACGCTTTCATCGACAGCTTTCAATCTCACCCGCAGACGTTTTGGGGTGGACCGACGCTCTTTCGCCCGTTTTACTCGATATTTGCAATGCAGTGAAAGCTGACATTGGATACACTGCAGCTCAACGAAGACGAGAAGAATGAATTAAATTGGTTGGAATTATTCGGGTGGCATGGGTCGGCCTTGCAGGCGTGGTCACTCTTCAGTGTTGTCTTATATCTTTTAGTCATATTAAATATATTTCTCTATCTCTAGCTTAAGTTTGTTCTCCATCATATATTGGTGATAGTTACGATGCGACCAGTTAGTGTAGACAGTGATGTGACTTTTACGTACGATCTTATACGGCTGCAATTAAACGCGACTCAATATCGTAAATGTGCCCTTCAGCTTAGCAACCAATCAGAATGAGGCGTGAATCATTATATCCGCCATCTTTGTAAGCAATGGCGATCGGCTTTCTTCGTTTTGTGCTTCTTTCAGCTATTTCTTTTGTTTAACTATGTAATTTAATGTTTCGGTGTGCTAAAATGCCGCAGTTAGTGTAATGTCCTATATGTTGGTGTGAAATTTATTTCGAATCAGCGATTTTTTATGGGTTTTTGCTGCTTCTACTGAAGTCAATGTATTTCTTCAAGCAATCTGGCCAGTCTTGTTATAAAATGCTAATGCGTTTTGTTTTGAGTTCTTTTTTTCAGATATCGCTATCCAAGGTTAGTTTTGTTAGCTTAATTAAGTGTTGCGACAGTATGGAACTCGAAATGTCCGCATAATTGTTCTGATTAGGAACGATCTTTACAAACGACGATGAATTGGCAATTACAATGGAAATGCAAAACGGTTGATGCTCAAGCTTCCGCTATAATGCTGTACAGTAATACGCTTTTCCTTTGAAATAAAACTATTTAAATATATACCGCCTTTCCCGTGGATTGCAGTTTCACTGTGGTTTGTTGTGGAAATGAAGGCGAATATAGGAGAACTTTGGGGTTATGCCAATGGTGTTTTAAAAGTTGAATCAAAAACAGGCAATTCTGTGTGCATTTAGGCGTAAAGTAGGCAATTCGGCGGATATTTAGACGAAAAGCAGACAATTGAGCGAAGAAGGGGGAAATCCGTATTATTTCCCCCGGACAGGCGAATAAGGCAACATTTTGGCGCTTTCCCCCCTTTATTTACCCAAGCATTTTCCCCTTTATTGGTTGATTGGGAACTGGCAGGCAACCTCGTTTTTCTTATGTCAGAAAATCCTAATCCGTTATATTTTGAGCATTGTTTTTTTAGATATGGAGAACGGAAGTTAGTTTTCTTTAGCCAAAATAATTGTTGCTGCCGCATGTGAACGTAACTGACTGCATATTCGTTTCTAACTGTCATTTATTGTTATGAGGCAGAATGAAAGATTTGTTATTTTCTTCAGTATTATGGACCAAGCTACTCGATCAACCAGTCAAACTAATACTGAGTGTCCAGTGGCTGTGGATACCGATGATGTCTCCGAAATGATTATGAGACCCAGGCACCTGTCAAGCAAGAATCAAGTCAGAGAAGCTATCGATCTGTTGCAAAAGGTTTGTTACTGATTATACTCCATCTAAAAAGTAATAGATGACTTGGACTCATTATGTCGTACGTGAAAGCAGGCTGAACAAGGAAAAGCCGGAAATTCGCTATGAATATATAGTGTATGTATGTTCTTTCGGCCATAAAAATTATAACCAGAGCAAAATTAACAACATAATCTAGTTGATTAATTAAAAATGCATTATGAAATGACAAAATCTGTGGTAAGTTGAACGCACAGATGACTCTGGGCAATACATTAAGTTTACATGGTTGCGTTGCGGATAAATTCACCCATCTTATAGATCAGGCAGTTACCTAATGACAAATCTACAATTTTAGGACTAAGTCTATTATTAAAGCAGTACCAATAACGAAGTAGACCATAATTCTACAAATCCTTCATCTTCAATGAATATGGATCTAAAATTTTACACAGATAGGCTTACCAACTCCATGTGTTTAACCATCCGCTCAACCTGTCCTACAACATGGTATACACTTCCTACTGGCCCCGTCTTAAGGTCATCACTATAGGAGGGAGTGATATATAGCGGGAAATAAATCCCCTAAACCAATATCACCGTAAGTCTTCGACATGTGATGCTGACCGCATTTGTTTTAATGGACTCACGTATCTGGAGGCTCTCGGTCACGCATACGCCTCAGATCACGAATGGATACGACGTGCTACCAATCTCCTACAACTATTAACCAGCCTACATTAGTCATTTCTCAATATATCAATATTCTATCAAACATATTTTCGAGTCTTTTCGCTTTGACTTCTGATTTCACAGGGAGGGCACGCTTCGACTATAAAATGCAATAATGGTTAAAGTGTCGATAAACGCCGAATACTTGTTGCATTTCCAACTGTATGAAGTGGTGTCAACTCTTACGCATAGAAATATGTTAATGTTGGAAGTTTTTTAGCAAAAAAACCAACAGAAGGCGTCAATATTCTGTACACAAGTCGTACTATGTGTATTAATACACAATATGTTTAATTAAACATCTTCATATCCTTTTTATAACCAAACTATATTAACGTGTATAATAGACGGTAGATAGGCTAAGTATCTAAAGATCTATCTTTTCAGCATCTTTTATTTCTTTATAATTCCTCGTGAATGTTATTTGGAGTCCAAAATTAGAAGTTAAATGTACAATCATTTAAGTCCAAAAGAATGACAAGGATTTTGTGGTCGGTTTGAAGGACATCCGAACGACCTATAATTTCGGTTGTCGGTTTGTCATGCTCTCACGCTTATATTATTTCTTATTTTTATTGGTTCGTTGTATCTCCAAGTGTGTCAGCGCTACAAGTTGTGATGGAGGTAGGATTTCAAACTGCTCTCTTTCGGACTGGTGCTTCAAACCAGCACTTTAGACCGCTTCGCCACTCCACCCTACGCGTTTCACATCTGTGTAACATAGGTAAACAATGTCCACCGAGATATAGGAGAGATCTAAAACGCAACGACACAGACAATTGTCAGTGAGTACCAAATAAGAGAGAATATGGTGTACAAGCACAGATGAAATTACGCAGTTACCGTGCAAAAGGAAGGTTATGTACAAAGTAGTCCCGTACATCATTCCAAAAGCTCAATGTACGCTAGGTTTGCCTATTTTCTAACAAACCGTTTACCCCTTTTCAACTAGGAATAAGAAAGAGTAGGCCCTCATCGGTATCATGCATAATAATTTTAACACTGTTTTATCTGAATAATCGTTTAGGGCCGTTTTTGGTCCCAAAGTAGCTCGATGACCTCCGAACGACAGTAATGTAACTTTTTAAAACTTGTTAGGATGAAGTGTTATAAACCAGTGAAACTTAGGTCTATGTTTTAGAAGTTGGGTTGTTTTATCACGAAATTATGCAAATATTTCAAGGGTTAACACCTGAAGTCTATACCTTGCATTCATACCCCATAATATTACAAATATCTTATTAGCCCTAATCACTTGAGAGACTAGGTATTTCCATGCATATATATGCTCATTTACGAAAACAAATCGTATATTACGCTATAAAGTTCTAAGAAAAATCCAACTAACTATATGGCTTCAAAGCATTCTTACATTATAGTTAATGTCAGTTCATAATGTTAGCCCTAACTCGGAATTCCGATCCTTAATTATAGTTCTAGAACGATGGTTGATACATATTTTGTGTTTGTTTTGATCATCTGAATGGTCAAAATTTTTTATTGTTTATGACGATCTACTTGCTTTACGTTTGCCTGAAGTTCAGCATGTCGTTCAAGATTGCTTATAATTCAGCTCTGCCATTTACTGTAGATTCTTACTTTATTAGTATAAACTTAAGAATCTGGGTTCGCGTTATCCACATGTATTTCTTCGCTAACGTAATAGGTACTGTTTCACAGAACGTCTGGATCAGACGAAAATGTCATGTATCATGTGACCACTTAATGCAGTAGTCAAAATCTTTTGGCTTAACTGTATTGGCTCACACTCAGTTGACAGACTCATAGTGCATTTCCCTAGAAATCTCACGCGATTTTTCCCATTTAGACACTTAAATGAAGAACAACGATCAAGCAGAACACAAATGCCCTGGTACGGCCGAGAGGGGAGAGTCCGCTCTCCCTCTCGAAATGCTCTCACATGGCCATGCGTATATAGCCTCTGCCAGGGAAGTCCTACTCACTGCCTTCTCGTGGCATTACTGTTGTTTACGAAAATGAGAGGACGGAAACCGAATGTCTGGCGCTTTAACCGGACCCCAAACCAATGGTGCACATGGGCTCCAGTATCCTGCGGGAACAAATGGCGTATGAACCAATCGTTGGTCACCGGCTACCATGGGACTGCATCTCCTCACGATGCTCCACTGCCTTGTGGGTCAGACGTTCAGGTCAAAGGCTCGGGGTGTGGCCCCCTAAGAAAACCACCTGCTTCGGTTTGGGCACCCGGGCAGTATCACAGCTCTCACACAAATCAATTGAGATTTGTGTGGCGCATATGTATTTGGTGCCTCCCTGTACCTATACTAAGGTGTTAAAATAATAATAATAAACAAATATCTCCGTGTATAGTGTATTAGTATCCAATTGTAAACTGGAAATAAAATTCAGTAATTATGAACGGTAAGAGGACTAGACCCCCCTCAATTCGCTTAAATCCACATCGTCTTGGCTCCTTATAATATCAGAGTTGAATGTAAGGTTGCTTTTGGAATATACAATAGGATAATGTTATCCAACCCGTATATGATACATTAAGGATTGCTCTTGTTCGTGATAGTTCACTAAAGTACTTACATCCTTGAGTACTACATTTTATATATCTACGGTCTTTGACTTACTATGGAATCCGAAATTGTATTTAAAAAAAGCATAATTGTAAGTCCGAAAAAGTAACTGGAATATTACCGTTCTCATACCAAGTCCTCCCACAGTCGTTCTGTCCCACATTGTTCTATCTTACATTTATCTGCCTATACAAAAAAAAGTCAAGTTGAATATACCTTCTGTGTATTCGAGCAATTCGTAAGAGAAACGAGAGTTATTGTAATACTAGAAGTGATAGAGAATCACCTGTTTATTACAAGCTGCTAACCTTTCAATATTCTGTTAAGGAATTAACATACGTGCACTGTTCCGTCTCATGCGGTGACTTACTCCTACGGGTACCTCTGTTATTTGAATAAGTCTCAACTGTCATCATTGTAGAAAATAGATGGATCATTCCTGCTGAATTTTTGACAGCTAATGGAAAGAATAACACGAGTTACAAAATGAACAATGAATAGTCAAGATATGACCAGTTTGGAAAGTTTACAGCCTAACCGAGCCTCAGTTATCCCTCTCCTAACCTTTTATTCGTTATGTTGATAAAAACTATTGAGATTGCCATCAATTATGACTATTATTTTGTGAAATAGTATCCCGTACTTGAAAGTAAACTCATTTACTTTTAGAACAGTAGCTTATTATTTTCAGTGTTTGTAAGTATTCAAACCATCGAATCGAATAATTCAAAAGGTAAACTGCCTATGACTGTTGAGATACAGTTCTTCCTGAATAAATTTAGTTCTGTTGAAAACCTAATAACATCTGTATATACATTTCTCCGTTTATAGTAAAATTTTCGAATTTGTCTGACATCGGGAAAGTAAGTACGTTGTGTGGTACGGGCATAACCATCTGTTTTGAAACACTAACAGTAAACTATGTAAATGCCTTTCGCTGATTACTATGTGACCTTATGTTACTCGCGATAAGTTTCTATAATGCTCTACAAACTTCAAGGTTTGCAAAACTGTGTTATTGTGAGATCATAGTAAAGGTTTTTTTTATTAATCCAATTGACTGTTGGTTTTTTGCATGCATATTTAGAACTATGTGTATTTTGACAGATTGTTTATCGTTTTCCCTCATATTACCATGTTAATATGGGATAATCAGATGTACAAAAACAGACTAATAACATTTCTCAACAAATTTCACAAGAACGCCGTATTATAGTGTTTTATTTGAAAATTATATTGTTACACCTATTTTGCTTTTCTCCATTGCAAGCAGGACAACTGAAAAATTGATTCGCGTCTCATTCTCCGACATGCCAGTACTTCTCAAACGTAAAAAAGTATCAGAGTAACTGTTAATTTCAACCATTTAATGAAAGCTCTGTGATTACAAATATACATGTGGAAAACGTCGGGCGACAAAAGGTCAAAAAAGTCGGATTATGCAACACCTATCAAAGCTCCACGCAAATACGAAAAGAGTCATGTTAAAAAACCTCATTTAGCAGGGAACCAGTGTAGTGTTACTTCACTTCAGACACCATCGTCGTCTCACTCCTTTCCTGATATAGATGATGTCTCACTTACAATACAATCTTGTAATAAAAAACACTTGAAACAGATTGATAGGACAATGGTCAGTAATACCGTTCCCGAAACATTGAAAGACAATAACAAATCAACACAAGTCATCCGTGCAAAGACCCCGACTAGGGAATTATCTCACATTAGCATTACAAATAAATGCATCACTTCCGGAAATGCTGGCAATAGGAAGTCAAAGAAAGTCTCTAATTGTAGTTTTGAAATCTCGAGGTCCTCCTCAAACAGTATCAAGTTCAACTCCCCATTTGTAAGAGGATTGGAAGAATTTATAATTACGGATGATGAGTCGGAAGTGACAACCCCGTTACAACGTCAGAAAGCTCTTTCCGAAAAGCATATTGAAAGGATAGGTAAACCACATGAAGTGATTAGAACTAAGCGGTGTACTCCTCTTAAACGCTCTATTTTGAATGAGCGCGCTATCCGCAAGACCCAGCGAAGTCACTCACTTCCAGCCCCTGTAGGAATTAATTTTGATTCCTCTGAATTTCCTAGTGTGACAAAAATCACAGAGGTAACTGACGTATTCGATAGTTTCAGTTTTGTAGTTTCATACTTCCGATAACTTGAATAATTCACTAAAAGAACCCACTTCATCAGAAATCGAAAAGGACCTTGTGAGTGAGTTGATTTCACGATTGGTTACATTCCAAGACAGAGCATATGTAACCCACGCTAATAACCCCTTTCATCTCAAGAGAACAAAGCGTCTTGTTTGTGGTTTTCATGAAGTAGTCAAACACTTAAAGTTAAAACACATGCGAATTGTCTTTGTGGCTCGCGATCTTGAAGCAAATGCTACCAACTATTTATGGCAACATAAAAGTGAGTACTAGTAACTATTCAGTAATACTCTCCAGTCTCTAGTTGTATATATCTGTTGCTTTAGTTGAAAACTCAATGGCTATTAAGGTCAATAATGTCGAAGAAGGAAAGTTGAATACTTAGGCTCACCGTGGCCACCTAATTAGATTCATGTTTGACATTTCATGTCTGTACTTTTGAAAAGTTACTGCTAGGTTGTCTGGTTTTTACTACACAAACAAAAACTAGGTACTTTTAGTCCACTTCAAACCTAAATTTTTCAAACCAAGACCGATGTATACTTATCATATATACTGTTGTAGCTGAATATGGTTTCGCGATCACAGATACTGGAGATTAGTTGCTCGCTGGATATTTCTCTAATTACTTGTTAATCTTCTTATTAGTTATTATTCATACCTTTCTAGGCTAGGGCAGCTTATTTGGTGGTGAGACTTTTCATACTGAGTTTGTTTTGGCAATTTCCCTAGGAATGGGATGAGTCAGTCAGTCAGCTGCAACGTAGGACCAGGCACGTATATGCATCGGTCCAAGTTGCCATACCGCATTAGCACAACAAGATGAACACCGGATTCATAGGAGTAGTTAATTCAGTGGTGGTAATATATAGAAGAAAGATTGTGTATAAGGAGATAGTAAAGGAAGAAAGAATTAGTTCCTAGACAGATATGAAGCGATTTTAATCTCTTAATTTAAGGAAGACAGAGAGTGTATACACCGACGCCATTGTGATCGATTCTGAGCCATGTCGCCAAGAGTCTCCAACCATTGGTTACGATAGTCACGCGGACCCCAACCAGGCAGTCTGAATCTCCCAACATGGCTCAGACCAGAAGTTAGTGACTTCAAGCACTGATGCCACGTTTTGGTTTGGCCGCCCCTAACTTTCTTCCAATTATCCCCTGCACTAGTCAGCATTGCGCGTCGTGGTAATCGGTGTTCAGGCATACGCAACACGTGGCCCAACCATCTCAGTCGATGAAGATTCATAACCTCATCATCTGATTTACCATCATTCCCTAATACCCTGCGTCTAACCTCACTATTACTTACTCGGTGATCCCAGCAGATACCCGCAATATTTCTAAGGCACCTGTGGTCAAATACTAGTAACTTACGAATATCTTCCACTCTTAAAGGCCTTTCAATGACAGACACTGCCACAGAATCTCTCGGTCAACAGAGTCAAACGCTGCTTTTAAGTCAAGGAAGACCACCATTGTCGGACGCCGATAAGTATGCCTGTGTTCTAGAACCTGACGAATGGTGAATATGTGGTCGATGCAGCCACGACCAGGTCTGAAGCCAGCCTGATTTTCACGTATTTGCAGTTCACGAGTCTTAGTTAGGCGTCCGAAAATTATCGAAGCTAGTATTTTAGATACTATATTAGTCAAACTAATCCCTCTGTGGTTGTCACGGGATGATTTTGACCCTTTCTTAAATATTGGGACGATAAGTGATTGTGACCAGTTAGATGGAATAACGTCTAACTCCCAGATTTTAGCTAAAATATTAGTCAACCTAATCGCTAAGACTAGACCACCATTTTTAAAGACCTCTGGGGCCAATCCATCTGGACCAGCTGCCCTTCCTCGTTTCAGATTAGCTATAACATTTTGAACTTCAGCTAGAGATGGGGGCCTACCTCAATGTTCCATTCATACTGTCTGGGAATAAAGGGTAGTTGTAGAGTAGCTGAAGACCAACTGAACTGCTCCTTAAAATATTCTGCCCATCGTTCTAAACGTCTGGACTAGGAGCAGATGAGAGTGTCGTCTTTTTCCGAAATAGTCTGACTTACACTTGATTTATTAATTCCAGTTTCTTTTATTAGTCTGTAGAGTTGTCTTGTGTTCCCTATAGCCACCGCCTCTTTTGCTTTCGTTACCCAACACTGCTCACGATCATTCCTTAGACTTTTGCTTAACCTAGATCTGATTTCTTTACGCTATTCATCGTGTTCAGAACCTGATGGGATGAGTTTACGAGAATCTATCAGTGCAATAGACCTTGAAGAAATTCATTGGTTCTTTGTAACCCTGTGGTTTAAATCGCTAGTAGATGTCACTGCTGTTTCCACAGCTGCTTGTATGTCTTTCCAATTAACATCGGGGTCAGCCTCGTTTTCAGAACTACCTAAGTGTGACCTCAGTTGTTCCTGGAACCTACTTTTGGTTTTCTCATTACTCAATTCGGTTCTAATGAGTCTTTTTTGCGTTTAGTGAGGCGCAAGCAGATGCGTGCTCGTACTAGGGCATGATCAGAGTCCAAGCAGGTACTCCAGAATGAGCGACAATCTTCTATTGACCCTCTCCAACGATGACTGATGGCAATATGGTCTATTTGAGTCCGTCGTTGGGTTGGTGCTGGGGGTCGCCATGTTAGACGATGTCTCTCCTCATGCTTAAAATTTGTGTTTGCTAAAAATAAACGATTGTCTGAGCAAAGTTGCAGCAGACGATCACCATTATCTGTTCTCTGTGTCGGAATACTAAAATACCCACCTAAATGTCTTTCTGTTTCGTTTAAGCTACCTACCTGGGCATTAAAGTCGCCTGCTACGAGTACTATGTCTGAACGTTTAGCTTTCTGAAGAAGTTCAGAGAGTTTTCTGTAAAATTCATCTTTCACTTCATGCGAACTGCAGTCAGTGGGAGCGTAGGCAGAAACGACGAAAAGGTAACGACGTGTGTCCCTATCCTTTCGAGTTCTTACCGAGTCGTTTAGCCGAACAGCGCATAGACGACTATTAACGGGGATCCACTCTAATAGCGCTTGTTCCGCCCTCATGCTTAGTGCTATGCATACACCTGCAACTCCACGAGAACTAGCCATCGGGTCGCCAGATACACAGAGGGTGTATCTCGTCGGCACTACGTTTTGCCGAGGTGAGGTGAAGTGAATGACCACACTAGGATCCTGTATGCGTGTTTCGGAGACACAGCATACATCAATCGTACGAGATTCTAAGGTTTTAGCCAAGGATGCCTGCTGACCGATTTGGCATAGTGTGCGTACATTGAAGGCTCCAATGTGTAGTTTGGAGCGGGGTTTCAGTAGACCTGGGACAGTGTTTTGCGCACTAGAATCGTTGGCTGTGGTGACACTTGAGGAGGAAGCTAAAAGAGGGAGTTTATATTTGAAAGTCGATGTAAGAGGAATAATAGGAATTGAAGAGGTAGGTTGATTATGAATACAGTGGTCTTAAGTGCTGTCAGATGTATGAGGGCGGTTATCACTTCCCGGTTGCCCACACCGTGGAAGGGTTCTGCTGGAGGTACCTGAAAAGGAAATTGGATTAGGGGTGGTCATAGTGACCTGAGAGTGTGACCACAGTACCCAAGGGGCAGATGCTTGAGCCCGGTCACGCACGACCTTTTTATGAGTAGTTTTAGTGTTAGCTCCGTACTTGTTGAGTCCTTACCGCCGGAGACGGATATCCGTGGGATAAGGCGAGGTGTGCATTTTTAGGGTCGACCTTTTCTAACCCCACCCCTCCTTGTGGGAAGGCAGCATCGCTGTCATGCTGGTTGTCTGAAGGAAATACCTTACTGCTGTCACACCTCTGTACAGTCAGCAATACGACTTCGCCTTCGGACCTTGGTTTTGTTGCTTTTAGTCTAACCGCTCTTCAACCGACCTGTCTGGCATGGTAGGACCTTGAGGAACGGTTGTTCCAGCCAGTATAGCTCAGTTGCTTCATCACGATAGGCAAGCCCGACCACCACGTCAAGGTAGCAACAACGGTCAGGCAACGTCGATGACAGTAGTTTTGCTCTTTCCTTGGAAAACCTGAGCTGTGCAAGTTAAAGATGTTAAGCGACTCTCTGTGTTCGATCATTGCCTCTAAGGTTTTGTTGATATTCAGTGACAGTGTTGTTGTTTAGTGTTGTCCGATTTTATTATTATTTATTATTTGAACACATAAATATTGGTACAGGGGGGCACCAAATATATATGCGCCACACAAAACAATGATAATTTGAAGAGAAGGAGAAAAGAGAATTATAAAAAAAAAAGAGAGAGAGAACAATGGTGGGGGAAACGGTAAGGTACAATCAGAAGAAATCTTTCAGTTAAGGAAGATACAACCACTTTTTATGAAGAAAGTAAAAGAAGGTTACAGCAGGATCGCCACTGGCTTCTATTCTGAGCCATATCTGATAACGTCTCTAGCCACTGTGTTACACCGTCTTTCGGACCCCAACCAGGTAGTCGTGAAGGACCAACAGAAGCCAAACCTTTGCAGCTTTCTTTCATACCACGACACCATGTCATATACTGACCACCTCTCCGCTTTTTACAACCAGTCCCAGAGACGGCAAATAATGCACGATGAGGAATTCTCTGGGACGACATTCGTAGAACATGTCCAAGCCACCGAAGTCGGTGTTTCAAGATGGTGACACCAATTTCATTATCGTCTCTGTGCCCAAACACTTGATGCCGAACCTTTGCATTACTGACATGGTGTTGCCACTGGATGCCAGCAATCCTTCGGAGACAACGATGATCGAACACAGAGAGTCGTCTAACACCCTCAACTCGGAGAGGCCAGGTTTCACAAGCATAGAGCAAAACTGCCCTCACCGTCGCGTTGTAGATCCGACCTTTTACAGCCAGACTAACATCACGAAGGCGCCAAAGATGGCCCAGATTGGCATAAGCCGCTCTGGCTTTCACTATACGTGCATTGATCTCGTCACTCATGCCACCACCAGCACTTATACAGCTACCCAGATACACCAACTTCTCGATTACTTCAATCTGCTCACCATCCAGAGTGAGTACAGGATTAGAATCCTGCCAGTCTTGTAGAAGTACTTTGCACTTGAAGGGTGCAAAGCACATACCATACCTACTGACACTGATTGCCAACTGATTAAGTGCGGATTGCATGGCTTGGGCATTCTCGCACAGTAAGACAATATCATCCGCATACTCAAGGTCGAGAAGTCTTTCTCCAGGCAACAGGTCCACACCACCATTACTTACAGCCATCAGAGCTGTTTCCAGAATGTCATCGATGGCAAAGTTGAAGAGGAATGGTGAGATTGGGCAACCCTGTCTAACCCCACTGCTCGAATGGAATAGTGGAGAAAGGTGGTTGTATGCCCTCACCCTGCCTGAGGTGTTTGTGTATAGGGCTTTTAGGATGTTAATAAACTTTTCAGGCACACCCTTCTTCAATAGACAATCCCAGAGAACAGTTCTGTCCAACGAATCGAAGGCAGCCCTGATATCAAGAAACACTACGATTGTTGGCCTTTGATAAGTATGGCGGTGTTCTAACACTTGGCGGAGGGTGAAGATATGATCAATACATCCTCGACCAGAACGAAACCCAGCCTGCTCCTCGCGAGTCAATCCTTCTCGGGTTCTGAACAACCTACGAAATATGACGGAAGCCAATAGCTTGGACGCAATCGGAAGTAGACTTATCCCCCGATAGTTGTTACAGGAACAACGTGAAACCTTTTTAAAGATAGGGACAACTATCGACTCATTCCATGACGTTGGTACACTCTCTAGTTCCCAGATCTTTGTAAGCAACGTCGTCAGTCCCTTAGTCAGAAAGTCACCACCATCTTTAAAAAGAGCCGGAGGTAAGTCGTCTGGGCCCGGTGATTTGTAGCGTTTCAAGAGTTGGAGTTCCTTGCGGACTTCCGCCTCATTTGGTGGATCAGTCGTCACCGGCCATGGAGGGCAGGACAGTCTGACCGATGTTGCCGGAGCAGCAGGCCAGATGAACTGCCCTTCAAAGAATTCTGCCCATCGTCCAAGACGTCGATGGATGTTAGTGATTGGCGTTCCGTCATCCTCGCAGATTGTTTCGCTCACACCAGACTTCTTGCTGCCAGTGGCTCGGATGAGTTGGAAGAGTTTCTGGTAATTACCAGATGCAGCTGCTGCTTCCAGCTCATTAGCACGCTCCGACCACCAGGCTTCTCGGTCCTTACGCAAGCTTTGCCCGATTTCATTACGTAACATCCTTCGTTTGTGGTCAAACTCACGGTCACCCGGAGTAGACCGACGGGCTTCAATCAGTTGTAAGGAACCAGAAGAAACCCAGTGCTTGTAAGCGGGACGTTTCGCAAACCCACAACTGACTTTACCCGAGCGCAGTAGTGATAACTCAATAGGTGTTGCCATCCTGAAACATCGGCCTCGATAGATCAGGCATGTTTTACGGCTTCCACATCAAACCTCGGGACTGACTGGAAAAAAAACGGAGAGGAGATCATTTTATGATATAGTGCCCGTGTATAAAAGGATGTTATGCAGGACTAGCGCCCGTCGGTCCTTCACTACTTGCTTAGGGTCCGAGGGGCTCATTAACTTGAGACATTATCGGACATCAATCCAAATATAGACCACTGGTTTTATTCAGATGTATTGTTAACAGAACTGTTTCTTACATTATATATTAATCTCGATCACTGATAGTTTTTCTCGGGTCTACTAGTTCGCTTCACTTTTCTTTACAGTTATGTTTGTGCTGTATTGTGCATTGTATTTTTGGTGCCAACTTATCCTAAATAATGTGTTAAGTAAGATAATGACTTCCGATTCTAAAGGGACAATATATAAACGTATGTTAGTAAAGATAGTGGTTAGTCAGTACAGATTCATATTCAACACTTGCGGTAATCAACCCACACTAACACACCGCTTCTCTCTCTCGAGCCAAAGGTTGTATCACGAATTGAATGAAACCAATCGGTATCATTTAGTGATGTTAAAGTGTACTTACTATCAATGGCGTACAGCTTATTAACTAATAAATAGTTGTTCATAGATGGCATTTCGAAAGTATTTTCAATATTCTGGCTAATTCTCTTCAGTAATTTAATATTGGTGAGCTTTTTTGATCAAATAATCCGTCCTTTTATTATAATTCTTAGTTAGATATGATGAAAAGGAAGCTGAAACTAAGATAGTTCTTAGTGCATTGGAAAAAGTACTCTGTCAGATTTGGGAACTTGCAAAAGAATGTGACCCGCCAGTACCAATAATCATTACCCATACAAGAAAAAAATTAGCACGTTTATGTCATAAACCAAGGCTTGTATCCGTTGTAGGAATTATAAACGCCGATGGAGCATATGAAGTTGAACAAAAGCTGTTAGACATGGAATCTGGAGTTAATTTAAGATGTACAACAACTTTGGGGGCTGCTCAAATAAACACAGTGAATGAGCTCACTGCAGGAGACTCAAAAGTTGCAACTATCGTAAGTACTTCAGTCATACATTTGATTTTCTTTGCGGTAATAAGGTATTCTCTCAACAATAATCACAAATATTTTCATAGTCCTAAACACAGTTGCCTGGGTATCAGTATACTTTAGTTTCCTCACGTACGTTCACCAAAAAGTATACAACACCCAATCCCAAACCTCTCATAGGTGACCGCTATAAGTTTGGTAAATTTATTATCCGAATATTCTAGTTGTTTTCCCAAAATTAACTGTACAACATAATTAGAGATTTTGACGGGTTCAAGTACCTCACTCCCGGTAGGTTTCCCACGGTTTTAGACGTAAATCCACTCACTGAGTTTTAACCCTCAGAATAGTATTACCAGTCCTTGGAAGAAACGATCCTAAGTGTTTTACGCAAGCTTATTTGATGTTACTATATCTCGCTATATATACAGTTGTAATTGGTTGTCTGGAGTGTTCATTTACTGGTTGATTAACAATTATGAAATTCGGTGTGAAGTAAATAATTATTCCTTAACACCATAGAGAAGGCACAATACAAGAATGATACCAAGAGTAAAGAAAGGATAAACTGTATTGTAACTATTTTATTTAAAGTACTTTTCTGTTATTGGTTTAAAGCTATACTGCTTAGTATATTTAAATATGAATTCCTATTCTCATAAGTCTACCAGCTTGTCAACTGAGAATTTCCTTTAATTTGGAAACGAGTTAAGTCGACTGGACAGCTTGACTGATATCATACTTGAAACTAACCGATATAATTCTCACAATTTTTCAATATACAGGTTACTAAAGTCTTTATGATAATAGAAATCAGTGCAAATACATGTTATTTGACCAATTTCACTGAAACAGTTCTAAACAACATAACTTTTGAAATTTAGATCTGTGGACCAGAACTCAACAATATCAGTAGCTATTATGCTTCCAATTTTTCTGGGATTACGATCTTGACTGATATAAAGATTATTAGTAAAATATGGGTCACTCATTTTACTGTAGTAGTTTGAACTAACGGATGGTGTAGAAAAAATACTGTACTTTCCAGATGCAGTCTTTATTGATACACTGCATATTTTGGTGTTTAACGCAATTGAACGTTAATCGATTAATAACACTTTCTCTTTAGTTTAAAAAACCTGTCATTATTATTACTCTTCACATAAAGTGTGGTCCATAGCCAAGTACATTAAACTTGCGTATTATAAGTTTCAGTCTACATATGAACCTTGTTGACTTCTACATGAACTGTTGTCCAAATTTGAATGGATTATTTTACGAGAATTACCCACCAAGTATATATCTTATTATCTATATGCCAATACATCTGTATAATTAAATTTTTACTTCGTGATTTTATTTTCCCAGGAAAAGTTGCGGTGTTCCATTGAATCTATCAACATTAAGTGATTAGCTTTTGTTTGAAGTCAAATGTCCGTATCTACCATCACTACCGATGATCGATAAATCTCCTTCTTTCATATTGTACATAGGTTATTTTGTGTGTACTTCAGTTGACTTAGTTTCTTCGAAATAAATTGTAAACAATTCTTCTACGTTGATTCTTACTATCGTCTAATAGTGCTCAACCCTATTGCAGCCTAACAATCCATATTCTGATAGACAAAATATGATTCAATGTCCGCTATCCACAATTTAAGATTCAAATGTCTAATTTAGCAATTTACAATATTCTCATGTCGGGACGATCGAGATAAAAGTCCTAGTTGATCACAGTGTCATACTTATTAAACCAAAATACGCACTACGAGTGAAACATGATTTTATTGAACGTCAAGTGTATTAATGAGACTCGACCTTACTTTGCTGTTATGTAAAATATTTAAGAACCTACACTGTTTTAGTTTACTTGTTCATTTTTTAATGTAGATTGTAGGTGAGATGCTGAGTTTAAAATTTATAATACGCAATGCCGAGCATTGCTGAAACAACATTCAAGTACTGTATTTTTATTTTTATAACCTTATAGGCTGGTTTACCATGGATTTTTGGGGATAACTGTCAATCAACACAAGCTTGTTATTTTGTTTTGCAAAACATGAAGTGTTCGATCTTCACATATTTACAGTGAAGTGACTACACACCCGATTCCTTTGCATATGCTGGGATATTATTATCAGCATACAATTATATTTCAGATTAATTCTTCATGTCAAACGATACAAATATTAAGTGCAGCCATTTTTTTTATTAGAAGTTGATGACTAGATGCTAAACTGCGGCGTAAACTAAGTATTACAACCATTCGATGAAGATCTAACTTCCTCAGTAATAGGAAGGAGATCATAGCACGTTTTGATAAAAACGCGTTCCTACAACAATGATGTCTTGTATACGAATTTAGAACCATACAATGTAAAATATAAACATATAAATCCACATTAAAAACTTTGTTTACACTGTTTTTAGAAAACTAGAAGTAAAGCAATCCGTGCCACAAATTAGTGTGAATAAGAAAAAGTGTAACAAGCAAAATACGTAGCTTATATTTCATTAACCTAGTCCATACGCATTTTCAAGTCTGAAATCGTGACTGCATCTTTTTCTCTGGAAAATGAAATAGCAAGAAAAGTATCGTGATAAGTAGTAGACAACATTCAAATAATGATTTTTTTATTGTCTCCAGTAAGCTGAATGATTGAAAAATGTTCAAAAGCTACTATATGTACAAACTTCAAGAAATGAGTATTACGATCCTGAAGGGAAACATTTTTCACGAGGATTTAAACTACAAAACTTGGAAACATGGGAATCGATCTATTACTGTCTCATATGAATAAACACTACTACAGTTCAAGTTACCGCGGCACATATAATATTACTTGAGAACCACAAAGACACTCAATGAATCCTTGATTAGCTATAAATTCATGATAGGCAGAATTACATATTTTGATCTGTGACTGTGATAATTTAATCTATTGGCAAACTTGGTGAATAACTAATTAATTAATGGGATATTTGAAGTTCAACTCTTACAAGCATGTTGATAAATACAATATACTGTCTACTTACTAGGCGTTGAAAATTTTATACATGGGACAGTTATCTGCCAATAATTACAACTTCCCGATATTTTCCCCATCAAATACTTTTTTGGTTTGCGTTTTTTCTCATATTAAATTAGCTTACCTATTGGCTCCTACAGCATTAATTTCACCATAGACCTACTGCTGGAAATAACGCTCTCGTCGTCTGAATTTTCAGGAATTGATCTACTAGGAGATCCACTTATCGATTTAGAATATGAAAATGACATAGTCCTGTTTGGTGAAGATACTGATAAAATGCAGAGTCTTTTGGTAGCACTGAGCAACAATGCCAGGATGTTAGGGATACGTTTCTCCCCCTCTAAACCAAAGTTGTTACAGGACCGGCTTGCGTCAACAGCTGAACTAAGGATAGGTAATGACTTAGTCGAACGCGTCGACAACTTCACTAATCTTAGAAGCCTGATCAGCCCAAATGGATTGCTCTGGTGAAATCTCAGCATGGACTCACGAGGCCCATTTAGCTTTTCCCAACTTGCGTCACCTATGGCGAAGGCGAGTATATCCGTCTATTAAAAAACGAGTATACTGTGCAGCAGTTCGTTCTGCTCTACTTTACGGCTGCGAAACGTGCCCATTAAGAGTAAAGGGTACTCGTAAGTTACTAATATTTTACCACAGATGTCTTAGAAATATTACTCGTATTTGCTGAGATCATCGTGTAAGTATTAGTGAGGTTAGACACAGAGTATTATGGAATGATGGTAAACCAGCTGATAAGGTTGTGAATCTTCATGGGCTGAGATAGTTGGGTGACGTTTAACGCATGCTCGACTACCACAACATGCAAAGCTGACAAGTATTGGAAATGTATGGAATTCGCGGACGGCCAAGCTGAAACATGGCATCATTCCATAAAGTCACATACGTCTGATCTGAAGTTATGAAACAACAATCGACCTAACGTGTGCACTACAAAGACAAGAGAGCAAAGTCAATGTTCTTCGCAATGATTTTGTGGTTTTGGTGCAGCAGAAGACCACTTAAATATGAGAACACATGATATTCGTGCAACCCAAAAGACACCCGTCGAACCTACAGCATTTGAAATATAGAATGACCGCTTCCTGTGAGCCCGTTCAAGGTCGTTGAAGCGGAACCGCGGGCAGCTTTGAAAGAGCCTGATTTTTTTTAACGTACCCATGAAGACACCAACTTCTGATCTAAACCGTGTTAGTAGATGCAGACTACTTAGTTCAGGTCCACGCGACTATCGTAACCAGTGCTTGGAGACTGCGGATGATATGGCTCAGAATCAATCACGATGGCGTAGGTGCATACACTTTTCGTCTTCCTTTAAACCGTGAGACTGAAATTGCTTTCTTCCTGTATTACAGGCCCCCAAATGCCCTGATATGGCCGAGAGTGGGGGGAGTCCGCTCCTCTCGAAATGCTCTCACATGACCACGTGTATACAGCCCTTGCCAGGGAAGTCCTACTCACTGCCTTCTCGTGGCATTACTGTTGTTTACGGAAATGAGAGGACGAAAACCGAATGTCTGGCGCTTTAACCAGACCCCAAACCAATGGTCACATGGGCTCCAGTATCCTGAAGGAACAAATGGCGTATGAACCAATCGTTGGTCACCGGCTACCATGGGACTGCATCTCCTCACGATGCTCCACTGCCTTGTGGATCAGATCTTCAGGTCAAAGGCTCGGGGTGTGGCCCTCTAAGAAAACCACCTGCTTCGGTTTGGGCACCCGGGCAGTATCACAGCTCTCACACAAATCAATTGGAATTTGTGTGGCGCATATGTATTTGGTGCCTTTTTGTACCGATATCTATGTGTTAAAATAAAATAAAAAGTAAATCCTGTATTACATCCTTATACAAAATTTTTTATATATTACTACAATCGAAGTAACTGCTTCTATGAATTCGGTGTTCATCGTGTTGTGTAGATGAGGTAAGGCCAATGGTACCGATGCATATATGTGTCTGGTCCTATATTGTAGATGACTGACCGACTGAGATTACCTAAGACATGAAAATCTTTTTTGGAAGCTTCTCTAACAACAAGAAATATTAAGTTAGTGAAAATATGATTTACTGACGGACTAATCACTGTTGCGTTTGTAGGCAAAATTTAAAACACAATAGCTGATAGCTTGTACCCTGTTGCAAACCAAATAGAAATGGCCTATGTTTAGTTCGTAAAATGCTTAAAATTGGCAAATTTGTCTGTTGTCTTACTACAAAAAGAATAAGAGATATGTAAGCGGAATTACAAAAAAAATACTTGATCTAGATTTTACTTAAACCGTTAAGCGTTTGTTGATTGTACTTGACGTGATTTAGGGCATCGTAAAGGATGTATTTTATGGCTAGAAAGTATCATTCACTCTAACCGTGATTCTAAACACTAACTCTTAACTCAAACCGTACTCCATACCCCTAATTTTACCAATCTATTTTAATCCAGTTACTTGTGCTCAGCCTTGTTTCGTTTGCCATAGTAAAGTAAACAATTCCTCATGTAAATGTTCACTAGTCATGTCGAAAATGTTTGTCTGCTGAAATTTATTACTTCTTATCGCGGATCGTCACGTTACGAAATACTACTCTTTGACTGGTAAGCTGCTGAAGCTCGCCAGTATAGTACTTCTTACCAATAAATTCTGTGTCATTTTAATAAAAGTAATATGACTTACATTAAATAAACTCGGGCACCCCAACCAGATACAGCGTCACGATTGAGGGCGTTCAAAATGCACTGTGAAATGCACTCAAATAACTCTTTCGAATTCTGAAACAAACAACAAGAGAGGTCAGTGCTTACTTTGACATACACGGTGGTTTCTCCTAAATTGAAGTCTGCCATTACCGTTTTCATTACACACAAACCTAAGGAATTTTACAAGCAAACACTTATTAACAAGCTGTGTACAGCCAGTAGTACCGAGTTTTTCAAAATAAAAGCGAAGACTGATCCAGAAGTTTATTCCATGTTAAGGTAGGTTGCGACTTATGTGTCGAAAATACCCAGCAGGACAGCAGTCATCATATCCGGAGGGAGATTGTACGACTAACTTGGATCGTGTTTTTTATAAACCATTGTGGTACAGATGAATCCCTGGTTAGTCAGACGAGTGAAAGACTAACTTCGTTTGACTACAAGTTTTATGCATCACAATAACTGACGATTGCTTTATTTTTTAACACTGAATGAAATCAAGTTACAAACATTTTGTTAGAATGATATAAACAGAAAAAATACTGAGATAGGAGTGTAGAACATAGGGTCGAATGGTTCTGACGGATTGACACAAAAAGTGCAAATTTCTAAAACGTGCCTAACAAAGTTAACCACAAAACTTGATAATTTAGAGATATTAGACAAAGATTATAGAAGTCGTAGTAAAAGCTCCATGTAAATAATTGGTTAAGTCGCTTTATTTTCTTTCGCTCCACGTTAAAACAAGAAGTATATAAGAAAAAGCAGCATTGACTTTAACAGTCATACATAATTAATTTTTTTGATTTATTATATTCTACTTATTTATTAAACCACCAAAAGCGCATGGGGTAGTTTGGACGCATTCATACGTGTAACTGGGGAATAAATCGTGATGCACAGAAAGACGGAATTATTTCAACTTGACACTAAAATACACTGACTCAAGAAGCTACATAACGTAAGACCATAGGACGACAAAAAAGAATGTAACAAACTAAGCAGAGGTACGGTTTAGGAAGATTAGTTTGCTCAAGTTTAGACACTACTCGCTGTTTTGAACCAGAACGTAACACCAAGCATTGTGCATCAAAAAGGAAGCTAAATACCTACAAAATTATCCAGTCAACTAGCTGTGTGTAATGTGGGTAAAACATTCACACTACAGTGAGCATGGTCAACAAGAATATGAGATAACTTACCATATTATTCTCCCAAAGTGTTTCACACATCCCATACATTTGTTCTGTACATGTGCCACTTACAACAAAATCATTGGCCTCACATACACAGCCAATTAAGTCCATGCAGGCAACGTATGGTTTGTTCGTAGTATGGTCAATACCAGCGACTACTGGCTCGACAAAGTATGGTCCGAACCTACACCTGTAACTTTATAAGTAACACTACCTGCGCTCGTAAAGCAAGTTGGATAACATTGTAGTTATAGTTTGAGGCTTGATTGTCCTATTCTCACGTAGTTCATACATGTTTTTTCGGAAAAGTAAACGCTGAAATCTGGTGGACAACAATAACGATTTTTTAAATGCTTACACTGTCTGATTATCAGTTGCCAATCCAGGAAATCCTACGTACAGCCGAGGTCCGAGAGGATAAACTTTGGTGAAGTCAGTGGAAATTGTCTGCAAATTAACCCCAAACCGAAGATCACAAGCAATAGCTGCGCAATCTTTGCCAGACATTGCAATCACAGCAGACCCATTGTGAGCTAAGATACTCTTTAACAAGATCACGAAACGAACAGATAATTACCATTATTAGTATTTAAAGGCTTCGTTATTGAACAGATTGGTAAATTTATTTGAAATCACAGAACCAACAGCACGGAGGTAACACTAAGCTCACAGTTAAGATTTGACCGCTTTTTGTCTGCCCTACAAACTACCACAGTAAAACCAATTAGAAATAAGTAGTGTTCAATCTTTGTTAAGCACATTAAATATTCATCTGTTAGCGTTCGATATAAGGATAATTTAAATGCTGATGGAACGTGCTGTTCAGAATGAACAAGGAAAGCTACGAAGTTGAGGGACAGTGGAAAAAGTGAGTTGACATCCTTTAAGCATTTAATATGCATATATTGCAAGAATTAAAAATAAAAATGCATTAGAACAATAAAATCTAGCGTTGTAGATTGGAATTTGACAGCATAATGTTTCCAGTGTGTTACACCCTCTGGACTTGAATACAGAATTTTTAGTTCCCGCGCTCGTTTCAAAAAGGGGGGATTTTTGTACTGGTTGTGATTATCGTTACTTTGTGTACTAGTTGCAACAAAAACCATTCTTGGTCTTTTTTAACTAAAAGTACTTTGGTTAAGGTTTGAAATTTTCTCTAAGTTTTGTCCTGTGGTACCTTTCTTGATAACTGACTGACACTCGTGTTCACGTTGTGATCATAGTGTGTTTTAAACATTTTAAATCAAATTACAATGGTTAGTAAGACTTATAAAGGTGGACAACCAAACTGCTTGTTCATCGTTGAGGAAGGAATACAGTGCGGTAGATGTAAAATGTGGTACCATAAGATGTGCACACGTCTAAGTCCTACAGCATACAAAAGATGCTCGAAGCCAAACTTGAATTGGCTTTGTATGTTTTGATGTACAAATAAAAAGTTGCTAATCCAGGAGACTATGAGCCTATTGGCTTTGGCCTGTAAGAAAAACGATGGCGGTTGTCCTGACACCATGAGCAGTGACAGTGAAGAATGTGTCAGTGTAGTAAGTGCTGCTACCGGACCCGTTAAACACCCGATTGTGATTGATGGAAAAGTAAAAACACCGTTAACGTTAACAGGGAGTGAAGTTCCGCTTGATATTGACATTGGAAATCATACACTCTTAGTGGAAATCGAAGACCCGGATAACACTGTCATCGTTGCAAATAGTCCCAGTGTGGCTGACCTGAGTGAGGATAAATGGACTCCAGCACGGAGAAAGAGAAATGAGAAGAAAAAGCTGTAGGCAAACCGCAGATGGTTAGCAAGTCATTGGAAGAGACGGTATCAGAAACAAAAATTCCACTGAGTGTCAAGAAAGATCTCTCTGAGAGGTCAGTCATTTTCCATAAGTTAAGAGAATCTTCCGATAAAGAACCAAAGGCTAGATTTGAACACGGCTTCAGTCACATTATGTCCTTAATAAGCAAACTACTCCCAGATACCGTTTCAGGAGTCAGCATTTGTAAGCTTTATAGAATAGGACGAAAGGTGGATTCTGAAATCCCTTAGAAAAACCGCCTCTTGAAGGTTATATTTGCCACGGTTGAATAAAGGAACCCGATCTTAGGTAACTCACGTAAACTGATTGGATCCGAAACATATGTTTGAAAGGATCTCAGCCTAGCTGATCGTATTAAGAGACGAGCTGTAGAAGTGGAGATAAATGAGCGTCGCCAAAACGGCGAAAGAAACCTCGTTCTTATGGGTTTTCAAATCGTAAATGTTCGGAGCGAAACGATCCCCGAACCACTCTGGGAGGTAAGGAAGAGTTCTGCACAGCCTTAAAGGTATGCTACACAAATGCTCGCAGCCTACTAAATAAAATGGCAGAGCTTAAGTCAATGATGGATAAAGAAAAACCGGACGTTATTGCTGTCTCAGAAACTTGGTTAATCTCGGAAGTATTAGATAATGAAATTCACTTGTCTGGTTTTTTATCCAGTAGGGCTGATAGAATAAATCGTAGGGGAGGCAGGGTTATCATGTACACGAAAAGTACCCTAACCATAAGAGTAGCTGAGACAGTAGCATATGTTTCAGGGACATGTGAATTGGTGCGATGTAGGCTGAAATGTAGATTGTAAGATATTGGATTAGTTGTAGTACATCGCAGTCCAGAATGCGTGGTAGATGATTTTCTCTTAATTAAATTTAAGTCCTGGTGTAACAAGGGTAAAAGCCTTATAGTAGGCGACCTTAACGCACCGTATATAAACTGGCTAAACTTAGAAGTAGGACCATCAAAAACGTCGTTCGATTGCAAACTGTTAGAAACCTCGATTGCCTGAGCTTTGTTCCAACACATTAGAACTTCCACAAGATATGACTTAAGAAACTCTTCTCTTTTAGATTTAGTCTTCACACACGGCGATGACGTTGGTCAAATGACTTTCCTCCCACCACTAGGGAGAAATGACCACGCAGTCATCTTATTCAAATTCGTGGCTGAGATTGCCTGCTAATTCGCTTCAGTAATTTTATATTGGTGAGCTTTTTTGATCAAATAATTCGTCCTTTTATTATAATTCTTAGTTAGATATGATGAAAAGGAAGCTGAAACTAAGATAGTTCTTAGTGCATTGGAAAAAGTACTCTGTCAGATTTGGGAACTTGCAAAAGAATGTGACCCGCCAGTACCAATAATCATTACCCATACAAGAAAAAAATTAGCACGTTTATGTCATAAACCAAGGCTTGTATCCGTTGTAGGAATTATAAACGCCGATGGAGCATATGAAGTTGAAAAAAAGCTGTTAGACATGGAATCTGGAGTTAATTTAAGATGTACAGCAAGTTTGGGGGCTGCTCAAATAAACACAGTGAATGAGCTCACTGCAGGAGACTCAAAAGTTGCAACTATCGTAAGTACTTCAGTCATACATTTGATTTTCTTTGCGGTAATAAGGTATTCTCTCAACAATAATCACAAATATTTTCATAGTCCTAAACACAGTTGCCTGGGTATCAGTATACTTTAGTTTCCTCACGTACGTTCACCAAAAAGTATACAACACCCAATCCCAAACCTCTCATAGGTGACCGCTATAAGTTTGGTAAATTTATTATCCGAATATTCTAGTTGTTTTCCCAAAATTAACTGTACAACATAATTAGAGATTTTGACGGGTTCAAGTACCTCACTCCCGGTAGGTTTCCCACGGTTTTAGACGTAAATCCACTCACTGAGTTTTAACCCTCAGAATAGTATTACCAGTCCTTGGAAGAAACGATCCTAAGTGTTTTACGCAAGCTTATTTGATGTTACTATATCTCGCTATATATACAGTTGTAATTGGTTGTCTGGAGTGTTCATTTACTGGTTGATTAACAATTATGAAATTCGGTGTGAAGTAAATAATTATTCCTTAACACCATAGAGAAGGCACAATACAAGAATGATACCAAGAGTAAAGAAAGGATAAACTGTATTGTAACTATTTTATTTAAAGTACTTTTCTGTTATTGGTTTAAAGCTATACTGCTTAGTATATTTAAATATGAATTCCTATTCTCATAAGTCTACCAGCTTGTCAACTGAGAATTTCCTTTAATTTGGAAACGAGTTAAGTCGACTGGACAGCTTGACTGATATCATACTTGAAACTAACCGATATAATTCTCACAATTTTTCAATATACAGGTTACTAAAGTCTTTATGATAATAGAAATCAGTGCAAATACATGTTATTTGACCAATTTCACTGAAACAGTTCTAAACAACATAACTTTTGAAATTTAGATCTGTGGACCAGAACTCAACAATATCAGTAGCTATTATGCTTCCAATTTTTCTGGGATTACGATCTTGACTGATATAAAGATTATTAGTAAAATATGGGTCACTCATTTTACTGTAGTAGTTTGAACTAACGGATGGTGTAGAAAAAATACTGTACTTTCCAGATGCAGTCTTTATTGATACACTGCATATTTTGGTGTTTAACGCAATTGAACGTTAATCGATTAATAACACTTTCTCTTTAGTTTAAAAAACCTGTCATTATTATTACTCTTCACATAAAGTGTGGTCCATAGCCAAGTACATTAAACTTGCGTATTATAAGTTTCAGTCTACATATGAACCTTGTTGACTTCTACATGAACTGTTGTCCAAATTTGAATGGATTATTTTACGAGAATTACCCACCAAGTATATATCTTATTATCTATATGCCAATACATCTGTATAATTAAATTTTTACTTCGTGATTTTATTTTCCCAGGAAAAGTTGCGGTGTTCCATTGAATCTATCAACATTAAGTGATTAGCTTTTGTTTGAAGTCAAATGTCCGTATCTACCATCACTACCGATGATCGATAAATCTCCTTCTTTCATATTGTACATAGGTTATTTTGTGTGTACTTCAGTTGACTTAGTTTCTTCGAAATAAATTGTAAACAATTCTTCTACGTTGATTCTTACTATCGTCTAATAGTGCTCAACCCTATTGCAGCCTAACAATCCATATTCTGATAGACAAAATATGATTCAATGTCCGCTATCCACAATTTAAGATTCAAATGTCTAATTTAGCAATTTACAATATTCTCATGTCGGGACGATCGAGATAAAAGTCCTAGTTGATCACAGTGTCATACTTATTAAACCAAAATACGCACTACGAGTGAAACATGATTTTATTGAACGTCAAGTGTATTAATGAGACTCGACCTTACTTTGCTGTTATGTAAAATATTTAAGAACCTACACTGTTTTAGTTTACTTGTTCATTTTTTAATGTAGATTGTAGGTGAGATGCTGAGTTTAAAATTTATAATACGCAATGCCGAGCATTGCTGAAACAACATTCAAGTACTGTATTTTTATTTTTATAACCTTATAGGCTGGTTTACCATGGATTTTTGGGGATAACTGTCAATCAACACAAGCTTGTTATTTTGTTTTGCAAAACATGAAGTACAAGAGGCATGGACGCATTTCAGGCAGTTATACAACCGGGTAACTCAACCATACATACCCTGGACAGTCCCAAAAAGAAGAAACACGGGCATCCCTGGATAGGCAGGGATATTCGACGTTTACTAAGACAAAAGAAGAAATGTTGAGATGTTGCCGTCCGCCTTGGCACAGCGGGTACGACGGAACGCTGCAGATTAGTAAGAAACAAGTGTATAACAAAAATTCGAGAAGCTCAAAGAAAATATGAAATGCAGTTGGCACAATCTGCTCTCAAGCAGCCCAAAAGAATATTCTCGTACATAAACTACAGAACAAGGATGCATCATTGGATTCCAAATCCAATTAAAGAAGGGAGTGAATCTGAAATGATAGAGGAAGATCAGGACAAAGCACAGGCTATGGCTGACTATTTTGGGGCAGTTTTCACTCAGAAACCTCCTTCGGACGAAGAACCAGACCAAAATAAAGAGTCAATAAACCACCTGCTCACCGCGGACTTCGACCAAGACTATGTGCTTAAGGCTCTTAGCACCTTAAACATGGAAAAGTCAACAGGACCAGATGAACTACACCCTTAAATCTTGAGACATATTGTACAATATATCGCGGCCCTACTGACTATGATATTCAGTATGTCACTTAAACAAGGTGTGTTACCTATGAACTGGAAGGACGCAATCGTCACTCCCATACATAAAACAGGACCAAGACAAGTGTTATCGAACTACAGACCTGTAAGCCTCACCAGTGTTTTAGTTGAAATATTGGAAAGAGCAATCAGACGGACCGTAATGGCATTCCTGGAAACCAATAACTTGCTAAACATAGAACAACATGGTTTTAGAAAGGGTCTATCTTGTGCAACGAACCTCCTTACAGAAAGGGAACTTTGGATAAAGGCGCTAGACAATGGAAACTCAGCGGATATTGTCTACATAGACTTCAGTAAGGCTTTTGACAAGGTGCCAACTAATAGACTGCTATTGAAATTGGAAAACCTTGGTATTGTTGGACCTCTTAAAATGGATCAACTCCGCCTGGAGCCCCTTTCCGGGGGCTACTGCCGGTCCCAAGCCCGGATAAAGGAGGAGGGTTGGGCATGGGGTTAGCGACCCCATCCCGTAGAAAACTAACTCGCTAAAAAAACGCTAACCAGAAAAAATTATTCAAACCATTTAAACTGTGCCCTGGGAGTAAGGAGGTCTTCGTTTAGAAGAATTATGACGCCTCATGATGAAAGCCGAGTTTCTTCGGAAGTCACGATGCCGATGCCCCTTCTGACAACCAGAGCAACCATTTATTTAGGTACATGGAATGCTCGCACAATGTGGGAGACTGGGAGAGTTTTCCAAATTGCTGCAGAAATGAGGAGATACAACCTAGAGGTGCTTGGGATCAGTGAAACAGATTGGACGCAAGTTGGACAACAACGACTAGCTTCAGGGGAGCTTCTGTTATACTCCGGACATGAACAAGAAAATGCTCCACATACACAAGGAGTTGCATTGATGCTGTCCAAACAAGCACAAAATGCACTTATAGAATGGGAATCTCATGGACCAAGGATCATCAAAGCCTCCTTCAAAACCAAGAAAACGGGGATTACAATGAACGTCATCCAATGCTATGCGCCTACCAACGAATACAACGAAGACGCTAAAGATCAATTCTACGATAGGCTGCAGTCAATCTTCGAGAAGTGCCCAATAAAAGACCTGACTATTCTGATGGGAGACCTAAATGCCAAGGTTGGAATTGACAACACCGGATATGAAGAGATCATGGGACGACACGGACTGGGAGAAAGGAACGAAAATGGTGAGAGATTTGCAAATCTATGTGCCTTCAATAAACTGGTCATGGGCGGCACTATATTCCCACATAAATGCATACACAAAACCACATGGACTTCACCGGATCACACTATGCAAAACCAAATCGACCATATCTGCATCAACAAAAAGTTCAGGAGGACGATGGAGGACATGAGAACAAAGAGAGGAGCTGATATAGCATCAGATCATCACTTGCTGGTCGCCAAGATGAAATTGAAACTCAAGAGGCACTGGACAACGGGGAGGACACTATCACAAAAGTTTAATACGGCTCTTCTTCGGGATAATGACAAACTCAATAAATTCAAGATAACCCTCAGCAATAAATTCCAAGCCTTTCATGATCTACTCAATGGAGAAGGAACTACTATGGAGAGCAACTGGAAAGAGATAAAAGAGGCAATCACTTCAACATGTCATGAGGTTCTGGGCCAAAAGAAGCACCATCACAAGGATTGGATCACTGTTGATACACTGGATAAGATTCAAGAAAGGAGGAACAAGAAGGCAGCAATCAATACCAGTCGAACAAGAGCAGAAAAAGTCAAGGCACAGGCTGAATACACAGAAGTAAACAAGCAAGTGAAAAGGAGCATCAGAACTGACAAACGTAAATATGTGGAAGATTTGGCAATTACGGCGGAAAAGGCTGCCAGAGAAGGAAACATGAGACAACTGTATGAAACAACAAAGAAACTCTCCGGAAATCACCGTAAACCAGAACGACCAGTGAAAAGCAAGGAAGGCAAGATAATCACCAACATTGAAGAACAACGAAACAGGTGGGTAGAACACTTCAAAGAACTCTTGAATCGACCAGCCCCACTGAACCCACCCAACATCGAAGCAGCACTCACGGACCTCCCAATTGATGTTGGCGCACCGACAATTGAAGAAATCAGCATGGCTATCAGACAAATCAAGAGTGGCAAAGCAGCAGGACTAGACAGCATTCCAGCAGAGGCACTGAAAGCAGACGTAGCGGCAACTGCAAGGATACTCCAAACTCTCTTCAGAAAGATCTGGGATGAGGAACAGGTACCAAAAGACTGGAAAGAAGGACTTCTAGTCAAAATACCAAAGAAAGGTGATCTCAGCAACTGTGACAACTACAGGGGACTCACTCTTCTTTCAATACCAGGAAAAGTCTTCAACAGGCTATTGTTAAACAGGATGAAGGACTCCGTAGACGCCCAACTTCGAGACCAACAGGCAGGATTCCGTAAGGATAGATCGTGCACAGACCAAATCGCAACTCTACGGATCATTGTGGAACAATCAATTGAATGGAATTCATCACTCTATATCAACTTCATCGACTACGAAAAAGCATTTGATAGCGTGGACAGAACAACCCTATGGAAGCTTCTTCGACACTACGGCGTGCCTCAGAAGATAGTCAATATCATACAGAATTCCTATGATGGATTAAACTGCAAGATCGTTCATGGAGGACAGTTGACAAAGTCGTTCGAGGTAAAGACCGGTGTCAGGCAAGGTTGCTTACTCTCAGCCTTTCTCTTTCTCCTGGTGATCGACTGGATCATGAAGACATCAACATCTGAAGGGAAGCACGGGATACAGTGGATATCTAGGATGCAATTGGATGATCTAGACTTCGCAGATGATCTGGCTCTTCTATCGCATACGCAACAACAAATGCAGGAGAAGACAACCAGTGTAGCTGCAGCCTCAGCAGCAATAGGTCTCAATATACACAAAGGGAAAAGCAAGATTCTTCGATACAACACAGCATGTAACAATCCATTCACAATTGACGGAGAAGCTTTGGAAGATGTAAAAACCTTTACATATTTAAACTGCATCATCGATGAACACGGTGGATCTGATGCAGATGTGAAGGCACGGATTGGCAAAGCAAGAGCAGCATATTTACAACTGAAGAATATCTGGGACTCAAAACAATTAGCAACCAACACCAAAGTCAGAATTTTCAATACAAATGTCAAGACAGTTCTACTGTATGGCGCGGAAACCGGGAAAACTACGAAATCCATCGTCCAAAAGATACAGGTGTTTATTAACAGTTGTCTACGCAAAATACTTCAGATCCGCTGGCCGGACACCATTAGCAACAACCTACTGTGGGAGAGAACAAATCAGATCCCAGTGGAGGAAGAAATCAGGAAGAAGCGCTGGAAGTGGATAGGACACACATTGAGGAAAACACCCAACTGCGTCACAAGACAAGCCCTCATATGGAATCCTCAAGGTCGAAGGAGGAGAGGAAGACCAAAGAATACATTACGCCGGGAAATGGAGATAGATATGAGAAAAATGAACAAGAATTGGATGGAACTAGAAAAGAAGGCCCAGGACAGAGTGGGTTGGAGAATGCTGGTCGGCGGCCTATGCTTCATTGGGAGTAACAGGCGTAAGTAAGTAAGTAAGTAAATCTTAAAATGGTTCAAGGATTTCCTAGTAGGCCGTAGACAGAAAGTAAGAACAAATTCCAAGTGCTCCATCTGGAGTCCAGTACTTGGTGGA